GCCTATTGTGGTTGTGTTTCTATGGGAGCCTTACAAATGGAACCTCCAGGAGTCATTAGGCTGTTGAGGCGGGGGGTAAGGGGAGGGGGCAGGAGGTGTCGGGGTATAGGAGCAACAGGGGGTGGGGGACGGTCATATCTTTGAGGTAGATCAGTCACTATGGACAGTCATGTGATGATTTTCTTCTTGGTTTTTTTTTGTTTGTTTTTTTTTTTTGCTTATTCTGAGTTAGGTTTGGCAAAGGGGGGAAACACCTCTGTTTCATTTGCCTTTGAACAGAGGAGTGGGAGTGTAAGAGTCCTGAATCATATCTGCTAAAGCTGCAGGGGGAGGAGACAAAATATCTAGGTCAGAGTGTTTTCCCCTGTGTATGAGTCTTTGGTCTATGAAGCACTAATTTTTATACTGAGCAGCTCAATGGCTGTACTGCAGGTAAACAAATAATCACTTAATCAAAAAAGGATCTGAACTTTAAAATAAACACTGATACTAAAGGTGGTTTTATCAGTTTAATTGCCAATTGACAGCACTTGTCAAGCCTGATATAGTGCATACGTCATATCTCTAAACCCTTCACTTAGGTGACTGCAGTTCCTTACGTTATCTTTTTTTACCAATGCACCTGTCATTTGTAGACAGATGTCTTTGCATCTCTGGAGCTCTGCTGGGTCTCCAAGAGGTGTATAATTTTGCTCATCACATGTGGAAGTCTGAATTTCAAAACCTCTTCTACAGCTGAAAAATTATTTTATTTTATCCCTAGTCTTATTGTTACAGCTTCTCTTAGCTTTTAATTCAAAAATGTTTTTTTTCCTGTACTGAGCAGCACCACCACTTCAGTTGTCTTATTGTGTTTTTTGTCTTTATGTTTTATGCTTTTATGCTAAAAGTACTTTCCTGCTGTAGGGCGTATGGATCTGATCTACAGTAAACTGAAATAACTGGCATGTAACTTAATATAATCTATCTTTATGGGCCGTCTGAAATTATGATTTAGTAACGTCAAGGTTATTGTACTTTTCGTTGCATACTGAAATTGTTTTGCATACACCCTGTATGTATATTCTCACTGTATCTCTTGTATTTATACTTGAGCTTAAATATGTTTTACTGTCCAACTATTTTGTTTGAGTTGAGTAATACTTAGTTTGTCAGTAAAATAATTATGGGAAATACTTTCATTATATCTTTCGATATATCTTATTGAAAGTGCACCTCAAACTGTGAAATATTAAAATGTAAAACAATTAGGCCAAATTTAATAGTAACTATTATGGGTGCACTGACAGAAAAATGCATTCTCTTAAACTAACTAATGGAATGAAACCATACATGGTCAACATAATAAGAGAGGCGAAGCTTTGTTCCTTCCTTGTTCCAACAAAAACACAAGAGATGAGAGATCTTCAGACAGAAGCCATACTGGGCTGATCCCCCTCTGGTTGACAAATCAGGATGGACAGCTCAAGACACTTCAAAGGCAGACAACGACCAGTCTGATAATTTTATGTGTGTCTCACAAACAGGCCATCACGGCTAAAGGGGCAGACTGTAGGAGACGACTGCCTGAAACAAACACAAACAAACACACTCCAAACTCCCCCGATCCCACCCACCCACATAACAAAACAGACACACAGACGGCACAAAGTGCGCACGCACACGCACACACACACACACACAGACACACACACAGACACACACACAGACACACACACACACACACACACACACACCACTCTTTCAGAGACAAACACAAGAGAGCGCACACACGCATTTCACCTTTACTGTGTCTCTCATTACCAGATGAAACCAACCGTACATTGATTCACAAAATGGAAGGGAAGAACGCATTAGTGTGTAATCACTGACTCCTGCATCGATTGGGGGGATGAATTAAAGGGCAAAGCAATATCATCAGTTGGTATAGGCCTTGACTACACACAAATTACAGCTTCAAGGGGAAACAAGACTACCTTAACCTTACTGTCTACCAGTGCATATAGCCTAGCCTATGATGAATGATAATAATAATAATAATACAGTGGAAGACATTTATGTCCCTAGAAAACCCACTTGCTTTGAATGTAATTCCAAAAACTTCGATAACACATCTGCAGATGAGCATATTAATTAAGGATCACAGTAGGAGTGTGAACACCTGGGATTCTAACTAGCGACCTTCAGGTCATTAGTCTATTTGCCATAGACAGTAACGTGCTAACCAAAGAGCCTGAGCACAGACAGATGGTATTATTAGCTGAGCCACACTGAAAGTGCTACTGAATTCAATTTTGGGAATACATTTGATTTTTGGCTGTATAGGAATATATGATTATAGGCTAAAGCTACATTTCAGTGATACATTAGTGCAGTTTCATTTAAAATCTATACATTTTGTTGACTGAGAAGCTGAAGGCTATAATGTTTCAGAAAAGAGTAGCATATATGCCCCTTCCTTCAAGTGTCCAATATTACATATGATGTAACTTTATGAACAACAATATACTGATAACTACCAAACCAAAGTCTGCTCTAACAGTGCCTCATAATTTACAACTTTTCTTCCATGGTTCCAGTCTGAGCAAATTAAAGAACATGGCTTGAGGTATTAAAAGTCTGCTTTAAGAACTATGGTAAATTCACATTTAACTTGCTTGTGAAGCTGAAAGACAAAAACGATAATTGTAGTGCAGGAAGAGTGAGCTGCTGCTGTGTACTATTCATCACAGGCTGTGTAAACTGAGGTGTATTATTTGCTCAAAGTTAATCTCATTTATAAATATCTATTATTTACCACTTTAGCATCTGATAACAATGTAGCAATTTATCAGCAAAACAACCCATAAGAAGAGTTACAGTATCTACTAATATAAATGAGCTATGAAGGATCCAGTGAAATATGCCCTTCGATGTCATGGAACTTATACAGCACTAGTGGGTGTCACTAAAATGTCAAACAAATAAAGTCATCACAAATTTCAGTCAATCCTGTCTAATAACAATGTCCTTCTCACCATAACTGGTAACTGATTGGTTTGAACTTAAGATTGATGCCTCACTGTCTTGTCATACAAATACATCACATGATAAATATTGATACCACTTCATTGGACCTTTAAATTAAGCAATATTTGATTGGAAAAGTGAGTAGCTCACCTACGAGAAGTACTGTTCCGACTGCTAACCCACCACCTGTTTGTGGAGAAAAAAACAAACAATAATATCAGTCACATGTTACAGACTCTGTCTTGCTCTGGATCAATGTGAACCACTCGCTTTGGCCAACTGCTACTCCCTCACTCCCTCTTCTGATCTCAACAACTGTGTATTCAATTTAGACATTTTGACTTGCCTCAGTGGTAAGTAGGCCATGACTGTGTGACAGTGAGCACATTAGCAGGATCCTGAAACCGAAGTGACTAAATGGAATACAAGCATCATTAATTTCTTTTTTTTTTTTTTTACATATGTGCTGTTTTCTACTGTGACATGTCAAAAAGTCTCTGTCAAAAAGGCCCTATGGAGAACTGGCTATCTGAGGAGACTTTGCATGTTTTGTTTTCACACTAGTTATGGCAGGAGTTCCATTAACCCTGTGGAAAATCTAAGGCAACTGGGAAGATAAGAAGCTTTCAGGCCAGTAGTTGATGATTCTGACTGCTTTATTAAATGAATTAAACATAGACTATTGTTGTTATTTTTAATTTAACCCCCAATGTTTTGGGGTTCTGTCAGACCATGGTCCCATATGTCAGTGCAGAAAAGTACTGTATATGTCTGATCTGAGATTACAGGAGTCTTAACAGGTTAGGAGGCTGAGAGAACAAGAAAAGTGACAAATCTGAGGTGGCCACAACTGTACATTTGGTTAGGTATAGCAAAATCACAATATAGAGAAAAAAACATGAAATAGTGCACTCATCTGATCCTCCAAATGTCTTTACAGAATAAAGGAAAAGTTAAACCAGGAAAGTTAGAACGTTTGATACATTGCTGTCCATGTCAGTCCAAACATATCAATTTTGTGAATTTAAATTTTTATCTACCTGCCAGTTTTAGCTGCAGAAGACAAACAGCTTGCACAAGAGAACAGCAGTGACCCTTCTGAGACAAAAGAACTGCAATCCAAGTACCTACCCCTGTGATTTGATATGTATTTAAGATGAAGGGGGGCCACATTTTATCGTCCTACAATATGATAAAGAAGGCAAAAAGAGTAGATTTTCAGATCAAAGCCCATTCTATTGAATAATTTAAGGATAATATTTTTTCCATCATTTTAAATATTCCCCTTGTCTTGTCTCCTAAAAATCTGAGTGTCTTTACATTACAATGGTTCCTGCTCCATTTGAGCACTACATGAATATCTTGGATCAAAACACACTTTGCAATGACAGTACACTATTGCATTTACACAGCATTTACATAGGAAAACTCCACATAATCTTTCGACAAAATAAGCCTGAAATCTGCATGATGTCCATGATACTAATACCAACTTCCACACTTTCAATATAGTTTTTTCCAGTCCTTGCAGTCGGAAAACTCTCTCTCCTGTTTGGTTTATAGATTCTCCTTTGGAGGAATAAATTACGCTGATGTCCTGTATATAATTTCAGTGTATTTAGCTGACGTTACATTGAGAAACACTGTTAGCTGTGTAGCTAGCGCTGATGTTAAACCTCAACAGCGAGACTGACCGAGCAGAAAGTCGAGTGAGGTGACACCGGTGGAAACTAAGAGCTGTCCGTTTTGAACCGAAGGTCTGGTACCAGGTATGGAGATTAATTTCCCCCTTGTTTTCTTCTGAAAACTCGTAGGATTGAACGTTGATCGCTCAGACGAGAGTTTACCCACACTGTTCACGGGAGCTGCCATACTGCTAATAATGTGGTGACGCTTGTTAATGTTTTGGAGCGTATTGTCCAATCATAAAAGACTTTGGTAGAGCTCGACCAATGAGGGCAGTGATTGTTACGGCGCGGCTTCCGGAAGCTGTCAAAGGGAAGTTCAATTTGTTCTGTGAAGTGCATGGTCAGAGCATTGAATCACACATTCATAGGTGAGTACAGCTCCGCTGCTATAAGCTGCTGTTGCATGGAATATTTCTGTGCTTCAAACAAAAACCGTGAGTGTGTGTGTGTGTGTGCTTGGCATTAACCAGAAGCTATAAAATGCCTAATGACTTCTTGTGACTCCTGCTTGCTGCGGCTGTGACCTTGTTATTTCATAGCATAACATTACAGAATATTGTTTTGGAAAATATATTCAAAAAGCAAGAATCAGACTAAATTGGTTCACTTGGTAATGGCGTATGTGTCACAGAACTTTTGAAACCTGATTAAAACTGTGTGTAACAAGGAGTATAGTGTCAGTGTTTTAAAACACACAGCAACATCTAAATGAGTGACATAATTCCTCCTTATATGTAAAGCAGCCGTATTGCCAGAAACTGAGCTGTTTTTTAGGATCCACTTTGTAAATTCTAAAAGTTAAAACAGAGCAGAAATGCTTGTTGTTGCTGGCTACAAAGTACTGTTCTGCAAGAGCGTATAGCGTATCAATGGCCTATAAAAAGAAAGACTAAATCAATCAGTCAGAATCTGTCTTCCAACTTACATCCTTATGTTATGGTCGGTCTGATGTAATGTAATGTAATAAATAGGCCATGGATTGCATTTGTAAAAGTGCATCATAACAGAGAGCAGCTTCATGTGCCTGGGAACATGGTAGCAGCTCTCTGTAAACTACTTTATGTGTATTCATGGTTATATGCACTGTATGCTTGGGTAGGCCTTGATGATATTGAATAACGTGTTATCTCCCACCATATGCGATATTTTTTTTTTTTTTGCAGTTTTGCACAGTCTAACCTGCTGCCGAGATTGAGCCTCAATTCATTGTTTTGCTTACTGTACATTGTCACCATGTTATGTTACAAATAAAACTTTGAACTGCTGTTTAGTGGCAGCACTGCTGGACTATATTGAGATATCACATTTTGGATATCGCCCAAGCCTAAAGCACTGTAGTCATTTTAAGCTGACAGTGAGTGTCACTGCGAATCCCTGTGCATCACTTCCCCAGTCACATTCAGTTCAGAGGGCTCAGCAGGTGTAAAGGTGCGGGAGAAACATGCAGAGCGTTACAGACATACAGAGGGAAACAACTGCAGCTCAAGGATAGCTGTGGACAGATAGAAGTGGTGAGCATCAGCTTCTTCTGAATGTCACTCACACTTTGAAAGTTTTGAGTAATGGTCACAGACCAATGAGCACTACTCTTAAAGCTGATAACACCAACACAGATTGTTCCTGCTAATACCTGCTCCACACCAATCCACCTGAGTAACCTGATAATGACCCACTGGCATCTTCTAATTTGAAATACATTCCTATTACTGGTAAGACTTTTTTCCCTGAAACATAGTAGTAAACTTGAGCTTTTGAGGCCCAATATATGTATATAAAATATTATATATTATATGACTATCTCTTGCATTTTGATTGTTTTTGTATTTTTAAACACAACAAAAATATCCTAGATTTTACCATCATCAAGAAAGTTGGATTTAAGTGCAATATGACATTTATCTAATGTTTGATATCATTTTAACTCAGAGTGGTCCAGAATACACGTTAATATCTAGAAAATATGATTGATATTATCTAAAATATCGAATTGGCATTCAAATACAATATGAGTCTATTTTACAACACACAATCAAGTATTGTAACAGCAGAATCTATTCATAATAACTGAGCACGTTGCGATTACTCTTCTGCACGCTGAGGTCTCCAACATTAACAAAAACTAAAAGAGCTCATACATGAGGTCCAGGACTAAAATGTGAAAAGTAATGCAGCACTGTGCTCAGCAGCTAATGGACCTTTTTCCACTTTCTACATTTTGACATGTCACGCAAGGAGAAGCACAGGTGTTAATAATAAAATTCATGATGGATAAATTCCATTAAGCTGCTTTGGTTACAGGGTCCTAGTATTGTGCATGATGGCTCACTGTCACACTGCGATGGGACACTTTAATGTCACATAGAGTGTTTTTCCTACTATGAGAAGTCAAAATGTCTGCAATGAAAAAGGCCTATTGACGTATCCATATTCGAGAGCTCTGAATGTTCTGTCAGATTAGGTGAACCACTGGTAGGGGAAAGGCCAGTTTCTTTTGTACTGTGTAATGTCCACTATTAATACTGGTTAACTGATGAGTGATCAGTATAATCCTTAAGACAGCTGTGAAAAAGCTTTGTGTGGCAGAGAGAGGCCAGAGGCAGCACAAGATCACAGGATACTGTTAGGCTCCAGAGGAAGCAATCGCCCAACTGCTCACTTTACAAATGCTCTTAGCAGAGGCAGTCCTGCTGTTTTGACAGCACTGTTGAGATTTATATGTGCTGACAGGGGACCAAGGGAATATATCATGACTGACAACACTGGGCATTGTAGAAAGCTTATATGAGACAAATAAGATGCACTGACTGACCTGCATCTCAGACGGAGGAGAGCCTGGTTCAGCAGTGCAACGTGCAGGATGCCCATACACCAATGTGGAAACTCCTCTGCACAGTGCCAGTCACCTAATTCTTAATGCTGGTAAATCCCAATTGAACCCTTGGGTTCTGTAGCACAATACAGTGTGTGGCAGTGTAAACACGGCAGCCTAATTGTAAAAAAATAACGTAATTTTCTCCATTTTCGACGTGTCATCTGTTCATGTTTTTGCTACAGTGTTTTTGTCAGTTCTTTCAGTAGCTGTATCTGATTGAGCTATATAATGGCAGCAGTCATAACATGTCAGATCTTTCCTGGTCAGACTGTTTTGGTTCCTTCAGTCTGATTCTGCCATCAGGGAAGAACTCCGAGAAGCAGTTGACCGCTTGTGTCTGGAGGAGGCAAGATTATCATCAACATGCACTATATTTGTTTTGTTAGCGTTGAAAGGAAAGTAATATTCTAAGGGTGCAAGTACAATAAGCAGAGGATGGGTTTTGTACACAGCTAATTTAGTCTAAAGATTTGACTTTTTCCATAGATTTATCATCTCATATTGTTTGAATAGCTTTATTTTGGTTTCCTGAGATTTTTTCCTGTTGAAATACAGCAAGCTATATTTATCTTGACCTATGGGATAGGAGAAAAATAGACTATGAAAAAAATACCACAAGCATACTCATTTAGAATTAAAGGAAATCACATTCTTAAAAATCGTAGGTTGGCTTTTCTGCTGAGGTATATATCAGGCTTTGTCATAAGCTGGTCAGAGCAAAACACCAACTCCTTTGTGAATATGATACAACACCAGATAAGATCTCTCAGCTCTTTCAGCACCAGGCCAGCAGCACGCATTTGCTTGTGGTCAATACAATAAGACTTAGTTGCTGATTTTTCCATTCAGTGTAATTGGCTGGGGACTCTGTCAACCCACACTTCCTTTCAATTCATAGCAGTTGTATTCATATCACTTGGCTATTATTTGCACTGCCTGACCCATTGATTGTAGGTTTAAACCCTCAGCTCCTCAAATAGTAACCTCACTCAGCTGTTTCACGGCTGTGTTGCCGTGAGCAACAATGAAAAGAGCAATATGGAGATCAGTCTCTTCAATTAATCCTCTGATAGAAGGCAGACCTAGAAGAGATGGGGGCTAGACATCATACTCTGTGACTGAGACTTTTACATCTGTCACTCTCCGTCCAGCCAGGTGTCTGCGTCTAAATCAGCAGGATTATCTCTGATTGGACTGATAGTTGAAACAGACCCCCCTGGTTGCCAAACCTCCTCCTCTTTATAGCTCACATTAAGATCAAATCAAGCTCTGCGCAACAGGACTAATGCCCCACCCTCCTCTGCCTTCTGCTGCTCAGAGGAAGACATCAGAGGTGGGATTCGTCCCTTCTCTGGTGCTGCCTGCACCTCCAGACTCCCTTCCATCTGGGATCCTTAGGGAGAAGAAGAATATCTGACAAGGGACTTGTAAGCCTCTTAGCCCCCCTGTTGCCCAGCTCTCTCTCAGCCCATGTTTTCCTAATTTAGTTGTGTAAGGAGTCTACTGCAAGGCCCTTGTGTGCTGTTTGGATTGAAATTCTCTTTGTGGTTCTAATAGACTGGCCATGTATATCAATTAACACTACTCAGCCAATGGCAGGTTCAAATCTCTTGAGACCAGTGGCAGTAATTCCTTTTTGAATATTTCCTTATGGCTTCAATAATGTGTATTTAATTAGGGATCAGTTTTGACGGTGTTGTTTGCTTTGCTTTATTATTTGTTTAATTTATTTTTTGCTCGCTGTTCCTCTTTCCTTTGAAATACATCAGTGACAATGATCAGATTGTTTTGAATTAGCCAAACTTAGTGGAACTGTGTGCAAGTTTTTCCCCGTGTGTAAATTATAGTGAACATATTTTTTTGTTGAATTAATGACCTTAATGATACACTAGTTATCTTTAAGTCTCAAACTTTAAGACATGTCATTGTGTTGATGTATTTGCCACCAGTCTTTGATGATAAGACAATTTCCTTGAGTATTGCCAAGGTCATTTCATTGTTTCTACCCTGAAGAAGCATCGCTTTTACTCCTATGAAAGAACAATTACAATTTGCCAAATGCTTCTGAGTTTTTGAGAGACTCTTTACATTTTCTTGTGGATGTGTCAGTCATAGCGACATTCAGGTAGCCTCTTTATTTATGTCAGTGCAGATGACGGAATTACACCTTCTTCACGTTGTATTGTTGCAGGGTCTCAAATTGTTCACTTAAAACGCTTTTGACAGCTGGGTGGACACAATGATGGGCATCTCCAGTACTGCTGCACTTTATGCTCATACTTGATATTGCAAAGAAAAAAAAAAAGTTTTTTGTTTGTGTTTTTTTTTTTCAATTCATTTACTTGTAATTGCTCTGCCCTGAGTGGGCTGAGCAACCCCAGTAAGAGGATCGCAGAGTTAAACACACAATGAGGTGTTTCCATCGGCACCTATTCATTTGAGATCCCTTCTTTTCGCCACTGTAGCGCTGTGCTGTGACCACGGGAGGCTGGTGGCCACAGATGGTTCAGCAGAGAGGGCTGCACTGACTTTCTTTGTTTTCCCATGAACATGTTTAGCGTGTAATCCTGGATTAACAGAGGGACTTTGTGTTAATTTACAGCTGTAATACAGCATTCAATTAATGTTGGTAACCCCCAACACACACATGTGCTGGGTATTAGGGCCAAGCGATAGTGTGGGTTGCCTGACTCTTTGGTCGGGAGAATTAGAGGTAATAGAGATCCAATCAGAGGTCTCTGTGGATGTCCACCTCATTCTGAATCCCAAAGGAGTCACTGCAGCTCACATATACCCTTTTTATGAAACACATAGGTAATGCTATTGTCTGTGCACATTCACGCCACATCACACCACATGCACACACACAGACACACTATCAATGACAGAGGGTGCCTCAGAAAACCAGGCGGCTGCATATGGACTCTCTTGATATCAGTCACTGGCCGTGTGATCTTGTTATGCAAAGTCCCTTAATCCCTACCTATGATGAATGCACACTGGAATGGGGGTGGGTGGGTGGGGGGGCTGAAAGAGAGATATGAGGGCAGCTGTACGGGAGGCTGTCCACTGTGCTTTGCGAATGAGTGCTAGCAAAGATTCCTGATCCCCAGCCTAGCAGAAGGAAGAGCACATGTGAGATCATGTCTGAGAGTGCATTACAGTACCGCAATGACAGAGATACTGGCGGAGGAAATGGAGAGCGAGACGAATAGAATATGTTGCCGTAGTACAGACCTGAGATTCACATTAACCTTTAGACCACTTGCTTCCCAACAGAGGAATTATAGGGCCAGAGGTGTTACTGTACCAGCTGAGGGAGGATTGAGTTTATAATTCCTGTGGAACGGAACAAGAGACAGGAGCAGGCTGCGACTGGAAAGGGGCACTTCATTTGGGCACTGTGCTGAGAGTATATATGTCCCCCTTCACCTGCTCGAGTGCTGTCATTCGCAGTGGCGGCAAAAAGCATGAGGGTTGCCAGGGGTGATCATAGAACAGAGGGAAGAGCGGAGTAGCAGCACACAGGGAGGCAAAAGGATAGAGTTGGTCTTTTTTGGATCAGAGAGGATGTCGAATGGGCCAAAGAGACAAACCATGCTAGGGATGAAAGAATAGATAGAGGGTTTAATAGGTGGAATATAGTTGGCATGAATGAGAGAGCATTGTGCGTCTGTTTGTGTGTGTGTGTGTGAGAAGAGTGGAGGGGGGTAATGGGATTAGGGGTAACACCTTTGGCAGGGCTTGGGAGAGCCACCTGACACCCGGTCTGTTGGGGACCTGGGGAGAAGGGGGGCAAGGGAGAAATTGGGGGTCTAATCCATGTCCATCTTTGGGAAGTCATTCCCAGAGCTCTGAGGATTTGGGGCTTTGGTTTCCGCTCTGCTTGCTTTGGTTAATAATACCCTGGGAGGGAGAGAAGACATGGAGAGAGAAATAGGGAAAGAGACAGAAGGAATGGGGGAGACAGAGAAAAAGATTTCTTTACCCTGTGGTGGACTGGCAGGACAGCGCCCTGAACCAAAAATGTTTGAAGTACATACTAACCTCTAAGCCAAGTTGTATCTATTCTTTTCTAAATATACAGTTCTGTGTGTGTGTGTGTGTGTGTGTGTGCTTGCGTGCGTGGGTGCGTGCACGTGTGCGTGTGCAGGTGCACCTGCGTACGCACCCTGCATGGTTGTGTACAAAGATTGACTTACTTTCTTCTGTCCATCCAACAGGTTGCAGCTTGAGTAAAAGTCAATAACCTGAGTGTGGCTGGGATGTTTGCTCAGAAGACACACGGATAGTCCTTGTGTGTGTTTGTGTGACAGTGTTTGCAGGGCGAGAGGTTGGGCGCTGGGTTGTCTTTGTGTTTCTATGGTGCTGACAGAAGTTGATAACTGTTCTAATGATTGTGGTGGTAGTGGAGGCAGCACAGTGTCAGGGACTAGCTGCAGACGTTGCGGAGCTGCTTGGCTGGATGTGTCACAGCTTCTGTGTTTGTCCATCACCTCAGCACAAGGTGTTGATTGGTCCATCCTACACTGGATCAAAGTTCAGGGCAGTTTTCTGGTGTGAACTGGCTGCTCAGCCTCTGAGAATGAAACACCAGGGAATGTGCCATTTTAGCAGTAGGCCAACTGTGACAACCTTGTCCACACTTTTAAAAATTAAACCCCAAACAGCTTTTGTTTTTAGAAATCCTGTAAAGGACATAAGCCTACCATAAACGTATCAGACACTGAATCATTTTCTCACCACTGTATATATAAAGCAATTGATAGCTATACACATTTTACATTATGCCATAACTTATGGTTGTGTTTTTTGCTGTAGGTGGAGATGTTCCGCCGTGCGCTGGGGAAGACCTTGGGGTTTGTGGGCTACACAGTTCAGTATGGCTGCATTGCACATTGTGCCTTCGAATACATTGGAGAATTTGTGGTGGTTGGTATTTTTTAATATTACAGAATTGATTAATGACTGATATTTTTTTTCTCAAATTAATTTCATCCATTTATGCAGAAGAAATAATTGTGTTTTTTGTTGTTGTTTTTGTTGTTTTTTGGGGTTTTTTTGTTGCTTCAGTGCTCTGGTCCATCCATGGAACCTACCATTGTTAACTATGATATAGTCTTCTCTGAGCGGATGAGTCGTCATCTTTGCAAAATACAAAAGTGAGTTCCAGTCAGTGGATTCCTGGCAAAAAAGGAGAAAGTAACCATGTTGGAATATGTTTTATGTATATGTAATATTTCACAGTTTACATTTTTGATTAACTGCAAAATTTGTGAAAATCTTGGTTTGGCAAAAATCTTTTCTCAAATGAGTAAAGGAAAGGATGTCAGCAATTTCCTACAGATACACAGTACATCATTGTTAATTCAAGATATTTAGCATTTTCTGTGAATGCACCCTGAGTTGTGTCAAATTAAGTGCTTGTGTTTATGCTTTGTTTTCAGGGGTGATATAGTCATTGCAAAGAGTCCATATGACCCAAATATGAACATCTGTAAAAGAGTAATTGGATTGGAGGGAGACAAAGTCTGCACAAGTGCTCCATCAGATATGTTCAAGGTCCATACATATGTGAGTATGTTACATCATACAAACCCATATTTGATGAATGTTTAATGCTTTTCAGCTGCTTTGCTTGTATACATTTCCTGTGATTACCTGCTTTACCAAGTACAGTTCCTGGTGGCAGTTTTACTGTTTTGCTTCCTGCAACTCAAAGAGTCTCTATGGAAGAAAAAAAAAAGATATAGTGAAAGTATGAATGAATAATGCGTTTACAGCAAAAGACTTGATAGTTTGTTTCACCCTAAAATGACAAACAGAATCTCTATGCCTAATGCAAAACTGTCTCTCTGTTTGTCTTTGGTTTTCTTTGTGTTTGTACCACAGTCTATAGACTGTCACAGTTGTTTACATTTTAGACCGCACACATCCATTTTGTGTCATTGGTCAAAATATCAGCTTTTGACAACACCTATATTTCCTCAGAACAGTGATAAAACCAGAGAGTGAGCAGGGGTTCTGCTGCTGAAACCACTGTCATTGCTTTTCTATTACTACTCTCCCCAACGCCCACAGCTCAGGCCTGCAATCTCTCTGAAGCCTGTTAGAGTTAGTGCCAGCCGAATGGACAGACTGATGGGTGGGCGGAGGTGTGTGCGTGTGTGTGAGAGAGAGAGAGAGAGAGGAAGAGAGACAGAGTGTACATACGTCTGCAAACCAGAGGTTGCGTTTATGTTGCATGTTTTTGAATTTATTGTGTATTTTATAGGCTGTGGGCAGACTGTTGAATGGGTTCAGTGAAACATAGCATAAGGCCAAGCCTGTAAGTGTCATTCAACAAATGAAATGAGAAATAAAGAGATTTCCTCTTCTGTTAGCTTCACCTCCACATACAGGGAACTGAACTTGTAATAGGTGACATTGTTGCATTGGGCTTCATGATCCCAGGATGTAGTTATGGATTCAAGTCTCAGTTCAAGTCATTTTTAAACTTGCCACTAGGTGGAGACCTGCTATATTTGGGCTTTCCCATGAAGTGTAGGATAAGGCTTATTGACCTCTTGCCATTTTGGATGCTCCACTTTTATTTATTTATATCCCACAGCTACCTAAACCAGTCAATTTATGGTGACATATTGGTGGCATGTACTACTGTGTGCTTCAGGTCACTTTGTAAATCTTTCTTCAGTTTCCTACAGTCAGTTAATCTCAATGACATTCATGGGGATTTGCTTCATACCAAGTGGCAACCTCCAGGGCTGAAAAGGGATGCCAAAGTGACAAATACCGTAGTCCCTTGAATGGCAACTTGAGGCAGAGGCAGGTACTGCCAAGATGTCATTGGCGGGGCAGCCCACTCTGAGCTTAAAAAGACCTATGAGACTTATGGGTGATGTCACAGAGGCTACGTCCCTCTTTTACAGTCTATGCTTCACACCAACAATAAGTATGACATGTATTAGAGATTGTGCGAATCAGAGGTTCTGTCTTCTGACTGACAGATTTTTAAGGCCTGACTTTGCAACAGTGTGATCCCCCTTTTATCTGGCTAACAGACCTATATGCAAAGATATTCAGTTAACACTGGTATAAAAAAGAAAAAGCAGCAACTCCTCACATTTGAGAAGCTGGTAACAGAAAATTTGTAATTTTTTGCTTGATTAAACAAAAGACAGGCTTAGTTGATCATCAAAATTGTTACTGATTAATTTTCTGTCCATCAACTAATTGATTAATTGACCAATCATCTCATCTTATGTTTGAAAAAGTAAAACTGCTTAATTTGTCAAGTAGGGATTGCTGACATCAATAATGTGTTCATATCAGCCATATATTTTTCAAATGGTTGCAACCTTACTTATTTGTTCTACTCATTTTACCAGATCGAATGATTGTTTTCAAACTGTAAAGTAGTGCAAAGCTAAAAGTGATATTTGTACAGTAAGCCTCCAACATCACTAGTAGAACAAATGTACCTGGGTTTTGTTTGGATTCATAATGCAGCAGGAAAAGGATGATGATGAGGGTTGATGTTTACAGAGGGAATTGTCCCACACTGGAAAAAAAAGTGTTGTGCTGTGGTAAAAATATGGGATATTCTGCATGTGTATTTGTAATTCTTTGTTTTGCTACCCTAAACTGTTCCAGTCATGAGCTTCACAAAGAAGGTGGTAAGCTTGAAATAACCATTAAGTCTTCACAAAGCTGATTGTCACTAAGCTATTTTTAAATTTGTGTTAATTTTTTTTACACCCAGGAGCAAAATCACTGGCTTTATGTAACAGCATTTGAGATAACTGAGAAAATACCCGCTGTTCACATAAATGTTGGGGTTCCCTTAGGGGAATTTTTACCCCCCCTCCCCCAGAGAATGTATGTGTTTTCGTGTGACTATTAGGATGGTGTGAGGCAATATGGGTGGACCTGTAAAGATGAATTTTGGAAGGCGGTGTTAGATCCTGTCATCACCTCCTTTTTTTGTTCTGACAGACAGACAGGTCCTCTCTACCCTCAGAGATCCAACAGGAGACTAATTGCCCTGTCACCTTTTAGGAATCATTTCTGTGTCTGAGCTATTGTGTCAAAACAATGACACTTGATCCCTAATATTATAGCAAAGAGAGAGACAGACAGAGGGAGAGAGAGAGATGATCTGTTTTTTTGCTGTAAAGATGGACAGAGCAATATGGTGAAAGATGAATTCTATAAGCCTGTATGTATTTAAGCAGAACATAATTCACCACCTCAATCATGTTAACATAATGAGCACTGTAATAGTGTGGCTGTTAAACAACACACCTCCGCAGTGAGGAGAGCTCCAGTTTCAGCTCATCTTGACACATCTCTGACAGGTACACAATGCCTTGCGTTGACCCAGCCTACATCCACAGGATCTCTGCCATCCATCAAACAGGAGCTGCCGGCAGGGCAGATTAAAGTGACTCCTTGTGTAGATACTACAACTCGTGTGTTGGGCCTACGTGGATCTATGGGGGTGTGTGTGGTTGGAAACATCATCTGCTCCACTGTCAAAATGAGACATGTTGATACTTTTTGTGTGCTAAAGTGACGAATGACTCAAGTATTTCCTCACCGCCATGTCTACAAAGAAACCTCTTAAAGAGAATAATGATATGCATGCAGGGAAACAAGTGAGGCTCATGGTTTTATGGTGATTTACACGTGTTTTGAAACAGCATTTAATTTTGAGAAACTCGGTCAAGGATAGTGCTTTATCTGGTTACACTGCTGTAGTTTTTGTTCAGAAGTTTGCCTGTGGCTCACAATGTTTTTTTTTTTCCTTGTTCACACCTGGGACTTGCAAGGTGGTATGCATAAGCTTTTATCCTCATGCTGCCCACAGTACAGCGGTTCAGGTTTCAGACTTCTTCACTCTCTCACTTTTCTGAAACATTGCCTGGTTGATCTTTAAGGTATTTTTGTCTTCACTCAAGCTTAGGTTCTTCTATTTGTTTTATGAGACTCAAAGAATCAAAGCCCCGTCTTTTGCCATTGTTGATTGGATTGATTGACTGTAACAGAGCTGAAGTGATCAAGAGCGGCTGTGAAAAGCATTCTGTTATCAAGAAATTAAGTTTTTTTGTGTTTAGGCTGTCCATTCAGCAATGATTTTACCAAATTCTGGATAAACACCTGAAATTTCTTAATCAAACCTCAACGTCTTTAGGGTGAGTGATGAAGATGAATTGTCTTTTTAAGGGGAAGATGAGGAGAAACGGGATTCTGGTTTGACAGATGACAAACGGTGGTGTTTCTTTTTCCTGTGCTTGGGAGCCAGCATATGTTACCATGTTAATGAGGTGTAATGGTGGGAATCCAGCATGCTGACATATGGTTCTCAGATGACTCCTTTAATGATATTCATTTGTGTCGTCGTTATTTAGTGAGTTGTTTACCTCATGTTAGGTCAACATGTCACTGGCTCATGATTATGTCACGTCATCTGTCTCAATTATCGAATATGAAATGAAACGCAGCATCCCACAGTAGGTTTGAAAACTCTAATCAGAGAGCTGGGTGATAGGAATAAGGAATATGAGCTGAGGCAAAGATGTAACGTCACCTCAGTGTGGACAATATTCTTTTTCTTTATTCATATTATTCGCTTTCCTCTAGAGGACTTTTGCCGTTAAAAAGTTAGGCAACACAAAAATAGACTCGTGGATTGTGATGCCCATTATGACAATATAATGTGTTGTTGATCCTGTCTGCACATATAGGGGGGACAGCGCACTTAATTAGGGCCTTGACAAGCCTACTCTTCTAAAGTGATGAGATTAATCATAATTGGTGTCACTGTGAATTAGAGCCCGCTTGGATGACTGCCCCACTGGCAGGTCGGACCGCGGTGGAGACCCTTGGACACTGCTGTTAGCCGCAGCTTAGCCCTCTTTTCTCCCTCTCTCTCTCTCTCTCTCTCTCTCTCTCTCTCTCTCTTTCCCTCTGTCTCTCCCTCTCTCCCTGCCCAGCTATCTCAGGCCCCTCTCTAGCTTTGCCCTCCCTGGGTAAGAGGGGCGCAGATCTCAGCCAACAGCCTAATGACCCCGTTTGAAGTTCTTCTAAATCCCTCCCGACCCTGCCCGTTACCCATGACCCCTCTCCTAAGACGGTGCGGGGTTAAAGAGGGACAGGCAGGTTGACGTTAAGATAGGCTGAGGAGGGAGGGACGGCTGAGCCGACTCTTTGGGAGTAGGGGGTGGGGTTAAGGTAGATTCTCACTACATAATAGATTAACTCACTTAAAGTTAAAGTTAAGTAGTGCTGCAATTTCAGAGTGTTGCCTTCTATTTGATTCCTTTGTTTTGCAGTAAAACAGTCTACTTCATAATCATTTTTTGCCCCTTTTTGTGTTTTGTGATATTTTCAGGTTCCAAAAGGCCATGTATGGCTAGAAGGGGATAACCTTAGGAATTCCACTGACTCGAGGAGTTATGGCCCAGTTCCCTATGCCCTCATCCGAGGGCGTGTTTGCTTAAAGGTAACAGGGAAGGTGTACTATACATGTGTTGTCAAGTATTCAAATCAGTATTTGAAAAGTCAGGGCACTAGTGTTGTTATGTCTCTCATACATGGGCTCTGACTATGCTAGGTGTTGAGCTCCTGGCCAAGCCATATATGATGATGTTTTTTTTATTTGGGTTTTTTTTTTTTTTTTTTTTTTTTTTTAATCAGTCCAGTATGGCCATTATAAGCACAGTGCAGAGATGTGAGTCAGTTGGAAGTTCAAAGCAAGTGTGTCTGATTGACCAAAGCCTGGACAACATATTGTCTAGCTTTCCATTCTGCTGTGTTGTCATGTCACGGGATGTCATAGCAACCACGACCCTGGAAACAGGTCAGCCAACCTTCTGCCCATCTGATTGGACAGCGACACTCCACTGGAGGCCCTATTACGACAGCTGATGAAATAACAAGATCTTCTATGAAGTCAAACACATCATTAAAAGCCATATTAGCAAATGTGTCCAAGAAGTGAGATAATGTGTTGTACATAATGGTTGGAAGTGCTTTATTTTGTCATTACATGAGTCTTTTCTCTGTTTTAACTCATTATTTCGTTCTGCCCTTTGTCCTACGCAGCTCTGGCCACCACATAGTTTTGGGACCCTCAGTGAAAGCCCAACCAGACGGATCATAAAAACTCAGAGTGACTCAGACTCAGATTGACTCATGCACTTTGTTTATACTGTACGTTACTTTGTTTCCAGTTATTTTTGAATAAAACACGTTTCAATTATAGAGGCCTCATCATTTTATTGTTTTATAACTGACAGCGTCCTGTCATTTGAAGCTTATGGTGTGCTGGCTGTGGCGGTGAAGCACTGTAGGAACAGCACTGCGTGAGCAGCGAGTAAAGCTGTGTCTCTGTGGAAATGCTAATGGCAGAGAGCACGGAGAGGCAAATATGAGATGCAAGGTGTACATTGGGGATTGTGCTCATTCAGTAATAACACAAACAAATAATTAGGTTTCAAGTCAGAATTAAAGACCAAATCATATCTAACACTAACAGTACATACAGTGTATTGGGATAGTGACTTGTAGTTGAATTTAACTGTTTAACTGGTTATGAAATGCACCTAAATCACATATTTCCAGGATGTTTGTACATGTGCTTTAAACAGGGATATCTCTAAATCTACAAACTATGACCTCAGTAAAAACATGTTTCATTCCCTTAAGATGTTATTAATTTCATGTTTATGCTTTTTTAGTAATATGGCAAAACAAAAGCTCTCTCATTGTTCAATATTTCATCATGCTGCCAGGGCAATTGAAAAAATGTCAACATTTCCCATTTAACCATACAATATTAATAAGCACTTAGTAAGGGCCTTGCTCACCACTGAATGCATTGTGTGTGTGTGCGTGCGTGTGTGTGCGCATGCGTGTGTGTGCGCGTGCACATGCGTCTGCATGTGCGTGCGTGTGTGAGAGAGACCAAACATGGTATACATTTAACTAGGTTTCTTACAGGACTGTTACAGGAGTGCATGTGCATGACAAAGACTTAACAGGGGAAGTAATGTGGTAGTAGTGTGGAGGGATGAAAAGAGAGCATTAGCTGCACGTCATTGTTTTGTAGCTACCTAAAATAATTAAATCCAAAATCTGAAAAAAAGACTGATGCAAAAATAAATTAGTCTTAAGTGATGCAGTTTCCACCTCTGAACGGCAGGTAAAATTCAAACAGAAGCACACACACAGGAAAGACTGCACTCAGTCATTAAACAGCCTCGAGCAGAATGTAGTAGTGTATAGTGAAAGTGGGAATTTTACAGAAATCTGACCTGAGGGAAAAACTAAGCTGGTTGTGATTTCATATTTTCATCATCTTCCTGCTTACTCTCACATAACCCTCTGTTCTGCTGTATATTTCTAAGGCCTGTTCATCCTGCTCAGACCTTCCTGGACACAGAGACATTGGCAAATACACATACTGAGCTGCGGAAGCTCAGCTGGTCATTCTCCAAGGCAGAGAGGGACTCTTCTCCTTAGAGTTCCCCAGGGGAAGTGAGTTCTAGGCAGCCGTGGGTCCCTGTCCAGCTGCTTCCCCTGTCTGGAGGGGGCCAGAGGGTCACAGACAAGGCTCCCTGTGACACTGAATTATCTGCCTGAGTGTGACTGTGCCTGCTGGGAGGGACGCTCAAGATTGTGTAAGTGTGTGTGTGTGTGTAAGTGCATATGGAAAATTTTTCTGCAAGGTTTTGCTTCAAGCGCATCTTTGTTTCTCAAGGTTTAATATTCATCTGCTGCGTGTCAACATGGTGCCAGTGTTCAGCTGAAATGCTGACAAGTAATCTTAGCATGTCCCTTTAAAGATACTGCCCCATAGAGGGAGCTCTGACTGTTTACTAATGTAACTCAAGGCCTGGTGGTTGAGAACATTTTTATGATTAACAATGATCAGTAATGTTGACAAACTTAAAGCTGAAGAAGGTTGATTCACACTATCTTAGGTGAACTGATATACAAATCTCTATTACTGTCCACCCCGAGGTGAATTTCTATTTAAAGTAAAGACTGGTCGTTTAAATGAACTGATGTACAGGCTACAGTTGAGCTTCATATTACTTGAAGTGCGGCTTTGTTGTCATACTTTGAGTTGTGCCACGAGACCAGAGTTTCAAAGAGATGACCGGGCAGAGGTGTATATCACTATCATGCTGAGTGGGCACAAGGCTGGGAGTGAAGCAGGAAGAGATAGAGATCAGAAGAAACGGACAACAGACAGCTGTGCTGAGCTATGCAGCACCACAGAGACAGGCTGTGGGCTGTCAGTAGGGCTGAGGTGTGTCTGCTGCCTCTGTGAAGAGAAGAGAACAGAACAGAAGTGTATTGCCGTCATGTTGCTACAGTATGCAGCTTGTTTGTCATGCTCAGTTTCTGATGTCAAATGTCGAATATTGATTGAAATTCTTTAATAGGAGTGAATGTTGTGGTAAAGGAAAGTCAGGCTCAGTTTTCTGTATCATTTCAGATGAATTCTGTTTTGCTATTTTTTTGTTTTAGGAAAGTCACAATTGATGCAACAGAGCCATAGATAGTCTTTTTTTACTCAACACATTTTTTTTCTATCTCAACAATGCAACTCAACTGCTGACAGTTCAGTTAGTAATTCAGGTGTGTTATACTAGTAGTGGCTAATGTAGCCATGATCTGCCAGGCTCAGACAGAGATGAGGAGTGACCTACAGAGGTCTGATGAGATCACTTCTGTCTACCTCCACACTCCAATTGTTTTTTTTGTCTTCAAACTTGTGGTGCTGAGCCCCAGCTGACACTGACTCAAGTGACATCACTTTAGGCAATTTATCAGACATACTCCAGCTCCCCACAGAGCCAAAAAAAAAAGATATATATATATATCAATAGTAGCTCTATAGTTCCTCATTTACATATGTTTTTTTTTTAGAATAGAATAGAATAGAATAGAACAGAATAGAATAGAAAGCCATTACATAAACTTTATGTTAAATATCCATAAAAAAATAATATAAAAAATACAAATATTTTTTTAATCTTATAAATCTTTATACATTTTAATTACTTAATTTGCACTCATTTGTGTGACTAAATATCAATGGTGGGTTTCAGGTTGGGAAAGCACTTCACTTTTCATAGCATTTTGTATTTGGATATAACTTCTGATAGCATTCATGACTTAGCCTTCTTGGTGTCCAAATCAAGCCAGTCATTACAAATTCATTCTTTTGTTGCTGCTCTGCCACATTGTGCATATGAGCCTTTTAAGACAAGGGTTTCTTTAAACTACTGTAATCATCCCATTGCACAAAGTGATAAAATTAGCACAGCAAATTACCCTGATGGAATGCTTATTATGAAGTTAATGAACAGTGGCTGTAGTTTTATTGTCTTGGGCTTGTTGCATATGTTTACTAAGAGCCACAGCAATGTGCAGTGTAATGGTACTGCCAAGCAAAATATTACTCTGAGAAACAGATTTTCATTATTATTATTATTATTATTATTATTATTATTATTATTATTATTATTATTATTATTATTATTATTATTATCACAATTTCTTATATTTGCCATTGCTACTTTGTTTCCTAAAAGTGTTGCACAAACAAAATAAGGCGTTAAGCAAGAGGAAGACAGGAAATAACTGGAGGGGAGCAGACGGAACAAGAGGGAACTGGATTGAATTGCTGTATATGTGGCAGAGACAGGAAGACAGGCAATATCTGTTTGCTTGATTCCTTAGTTCATTTCAGGTTAATTGAATCCTTTAAAAGTGCAGAGACACGTGAAAGAGGAGCGCGGGAAGTATGGGTAAAGAGAGTGAGAGAACCGCCCGTCACTGGTAATGGCCTGGTTTGTTTATTTTCATATCCATGGTAGAGAACGTGACCCAAAAGTAAACTTAGGTCAGATGCTGCAGCATTACTCTGACAGCCAAATGTCTCTCTTAGTGCTGTCTGCAAACAAAAATATCTCTATCCTAAGGACACACCAACACACAGGAGGTCACTAATGAAAACCTGTGTTGCCTTTATCACACTAAACTTTTGCTTGTCAGATACTTTAACTAAGTTGAAGCCATATCAATCACACTGCTGCGCGAACTCAGTCACGCTTCAGTTCTCCTCCTCCTCTCTTTGCATATTTCTGTTCTGTTGTTGCATCCTGTTTTCCTCCTTCACTTTTTCTTTACTCTCCCTCCTCTACCATCCACTTGTGTTGCTGTTAGCTGATAAGGGAATTGCTCCTTTCATTGACGGATCCTTTCATTCTCTCCTTTTAATCAAGCCTGTTAGTACTTCTTAATTAAGACATCACAGTCGCGTTTGATCACTCTTGCTTTTCTGTGAGTGTGTGTGTGTGTGTGTGTATGTGTGTGGGAGAGAGAGAGAGAGAGAGAGAGAGAGAGACAGGGAGGGAGAAAGAGAGCATGAGAAAGAGTGGGGATTCTCTACCAGTCCCTATTCTGTGTGTGAAGATGACTGAACAGCTTCAATTGGGGCAGATACACCTCCTCCAACTCTGTTCTGCCAGCCCTTGAGGCTTGTGGTGTGTACATCTCCCAAACCAACAGGCGTCAACCTCCAGAGATCTATACTAGACAGATGGTATTGGAGGCTGGGTAGGACGGCTATCGAGCTCCCTACTGTCAGTTTGTTGTGATGATCACACACACCAGGCTGTCAATACCCACAGTCCACTTATCAAAGAGTAAAGGAGAAGAAAAAAAAAACAACACAAAGACTGTTTAGAAGGCAATATTTTACTTTTGCTAGATTTCATTAAAGAAGTAAGACTATGAACTTCCAAACACCAAAAGTAACACTTGGAATATGTCTGCTTGTATTAATATATTGTGTGAATGAAGTCAATAGGACAGTGAAGCTGAGGGTTTCACAGGAACATTAGTCTGCCTTTGGCCTTGGCTTGGTACCACCCCCCACCTTTCCCAAAGGCAGTCAACACTATTAGTGCTTCTTCCCTCTAATGGTGCGGGTGGGTGGGATTATGTGTATGTATGTGGAATGGGGCCTCTGCTGTACATACAGTACACTCAGTGAGGGTCCTAATGGAAAGCTATGGGACCTCTATCCGCAGGCAAGGAGTGATGCAGAAAGGGTGGGGGGGTGGGGGTGTGACAGAGGCCTTAGTCTGACAGGCCTGACCTATATCCCCTGTTTGCTTAATAGAGAGAGGGAAATAGTAATTGGCAGATACACACACATGTTTTCTGTGCTTGAAA